GCAACTGTAGCTTTTTTCCCCAAAACTTTGTCTTCAAAATAAGGTTGTGTTTTATATTCCAAAAAATACGGTAATCAAAACTTCAATTAAGTTGCTTAATCAAAATTACCATTTCTGACTACTGTTCTTTATTATGTCAACAATCAATCAATCCTAAAGCCACCAGATTTGCTAACCCTATCTTTATGGCAAAGTTAGTAGGGCTATCTGAACCGCTGACTGGATAAAGGCAAGTAGCACCCACTGCCAACACCTGCTGGTAACATTATTTATTTTTCTTGAACTGCTAATTAAAGGGAATCCAACTGGCTAGCAGCACACAACACCAAGTTTTTTTCTCCTTTTTTTTTGAACTGCTCACTAGAGCAAGTGAAACTAACTGGAAGCACCTTGCTATCAACTTTTATATACTATTGTTTGGAATAACTGATTACTCAAATGTAATTGATTAATAAGGCTGTCAATTAACTGATTAGCAATACCCACAATCACCCAGTTCTAGTTAGTTAGATTGAAAACTAAAATTCATTTATTAAAATAAACTACCTCAAACAAATAATAAGATTAACTTGATTAATCCACATAATATATTACCAAAGAGCATTGAATATAGTGAATCGTATCACATAACTTTACTAATTAATTGAAATTACTTTTAAATCAATTAATGTCACAAATAATCAACTAATCAAAATTAGTGAATCTGATTATCCGAGTAATATAAATATTGCCATTAGGATTTCTCATTATTTTCAATTAATTTAGGTTTTCTTAACTTGATAATTTTGTATAATGACTCATCAAAATAGGCTCTGAATTGAGATTTTATGGATTTAAAATAAATATTTGGCTCACTTCGCACTGGAATATTCTTCTCCTCTACCTTTAACAAGTGGCACCTGTTGTTAAGTTTATAGACCCTTTATACAGACACACCTAAAGTAACTACATGCTTAATAGCCTCAATATACTTGTGTTAACCTGTACATACTAGCAATTTCACTGATCACTGTTATGTTCAAAGTTTTTCAGATTTATAATCAATATCAGTAATGTTTATTTTCAAAACTAGAATTTTGTAGTTTGAGTAGAGTTCAGATTCAGATAAAACTCTTTATAGACAAACCACAGAATAGTAATGATTATATTTTCAGCTTCTTACAGGTTGTGTATTATGTTGCATGTATGATACATTTTCATGTTCAACACATGATTAAACAAAGTAACTTAATACTAAATTGTTGTACCTGAAGATTTATAACAGATTAAATGAGGGGTGGTTCCAAAATTTATTTCTCAAACAAACCAAAATAATTCCAAATTAGGAGGATTAGTCTCATGTGAGAATAATCTAAAGGTCGAATGTAATTTATTAATGAACCCAATGATTAATCAATTAGCAAATTCCACTAATCAACCAGTTCTACTCGAAATTAAAAGAATTTCTGAGAGTACAGTATGCAAATCTTGTTTAACAAATTCTCAAAACTTTTATCCACAGAGTAGTTTCTAAAATATTATGAATTTTTAGCTTTATAATAAAAACAGCAAGCAACCCCACTACCTCACAACCTAAGAAATTCAATGTATTCAACTATACTTACCCCAATAACCTTAGCAGCTCCTGCCTTTGCAGCAAACATGCAAAGAATACCAGTTCCACTCCCAATGTCCAAAACCACCTTTCCTCGGAACAGATGCTTGTTGTGATACATGGCATTTCTATAGGTTAGAGTACGCACTTCATCTTTTAACATCTCCTAGAAGATGAAATAATTGTTTCAAATATAAAATTCTGTTCGAGATGTAAGGAGGTAGCAAGATGAAACCTAGTCTTCACAAACCACTTGCAACTTCTTTACACAGTCATTTAATAAATATTACTGACTTAGATAACATCAATATTCTTGTTGAAGACTGCTCTTCAGACTTATACACTCAACATATATTTGATACCTAACAGGATGTTTATTGTATCTGGCAGAGTTGTTTAAGCTTTGTTAATATTTTATGTTCTATACAATTTATTTTGGCCTGTAACACTTGAAAACTGTCAAAGTTTACGCTTTCACACCTAAAATAAACAAGCAATATTAAGAAATCTCAGTTAACATATTTACTAACAGTATTATGGTTGTCGTGAATTTGCATGAATCAAAAGTTTGTATGTGCCTGAGCATGCTTCTGTATCAATTGGATTGTACTGAAGTGTAGATGTGGTACATAAACATACATAAGCTCGAAGCTTGAGAATGAACAAGGATTGTAAGATACTGCACAAGGGCTTTAATTTGACTTGAAAGAGTTATATTTTCATGATCCTTTCTGTCCTTCGTAGAGCAAAATCATCGATCTTTTAATCAGCTGCAACAGCTACAGAGAGAAAACAATCTGTGCCAGAATGAAGATTTTTTGTTTGTTGTGAAACAGAGTATGAATCCTTCTTTTGCTGTCCATTTCCACTTAACACTTCTGTAAGCATTTCCTTCACACGTCTCAAGTGCAGTACTAAATACTTAACTGTCAGCAACACAATAAAGTTACAATTTTGGAGCCATCACAAGATGAACAGAGGTCAAGCTGGTCTTTAAAATATATTGCATTATTTAAACACATACTTCCAAAAAGTTTGCATTTTGTGAACCTTAACTCTTATACACTTGTATCAAAATGGTTTACAACAAATATATTATTTCAGATTAACAAAGTTAACATGCAAACAGTAATGCATCACCTACTACCTAGCACATACATAGTGGTGTATGGGATAATGGATATCTCTAATATTATAAATTAAGTCCATACATTACTGAACATCCAGAAACAATGAAAAAATTTATTCACTTATCGGTCACATGTTACAACAATACTGTTTACAATAACAGGAATCCATAAGTTGTTGATGGATCCATACTTCCATCTTGAGGAGTCATGTACAGATTACCAAATAATATATCCAAGGTAAATTAATGTTTGTTATAAGAAACAGCTGTTTGGATTTGGAACACAAATATAATGAATACTAATTAAATTTTCCATTGTGAAAGTTGTATACATGTAATGTCAGCTGGATTGTCAATTTGAATAAGATTTCACTGTATTATGCAAATGCATATTTAGACAAATTAAAAACGTAGTATTTTTGATATTTTTCAAGTAGCCTACAGATATTTTTCAAGTAGCCTACGTTTAGAGTCAAACAAGATGACAAATTAGGATAATGACAACTTCATCTTACAAAGTTTGAAAATCATTAGGAAAAGAAGAATAAAACTAAAAAGACTATTCAGAAGATACAGTATTATTATTTAAACAACACTGTTTAACTTCTTCATGTGGTAACACTAATCAAATTTTGAGTAGTTTTTAAATGGAAGAAGAGACTTCCACTTTAATAATATAGTACTTTGTATTAATCAATGACAACCATATATACCTAAAGTAACCACCTAAATACATCAAATTGAAAATAATGTTAACATAAGCTTTGATATAAAAGATTTAATTATCATAGCTTTACCTTACAAAGATTGAAACCAAATAGGAAATCAAATAACACTGATTTTATTGAGTCAACAACCATTTTTAACCACTAAGCTGGGGGTGCGGCCAAGTTGCTTCTTGTTAGCAAACTTCTATGGATTATAGAATCCAGTTTATATATACGAAGATGACATTTCGAGCAGCAAAATGTTTTCCATACATAAATACTTGGTAAGTTGAGCCAATAGGTCTTGTTACATATACATTTTATAAATACAGTGCCATTATTCTTCTGCAATTTATTAAAAATTCCTGCATATATAACACAGAATTCTGCAAAAACATGACTTCTGGTAACCTTGTCTGCTGATAAGTTTGTAAAGCTTAACTACATAAAATTAATTACCAAGATAATGAAGAACTTATGGTGGATAGAAAGAAGTGATGATTGATATCAGGACACAGTATGAGAGAGTATCAATTACTAAGAGACACTCTCTTCTGGATCGAGGACTCTTTCTTTATATTTGTTCTCAATTTGACCATGGGACCAACAGTTTAAGAGGTAGTAAAGGTAATAAACTCAACCTGAAATGGTTATCTTTTGGAAGCAGGAGAACAGCAAAGCAAGGATGGGTTATGATGATAAGACTAGCTGGAACACCTAAGCATGCACTGACCAGCCAGGTGTTGATTGGAAATGCCCATCACTAGGGAGAAAGAAATGTATGGTAAAAGAGTCTAGCAAGAAGAGCCACAATACTGTCAAGAGAAGAAACCACCTTTTCATCACGATACAGCAAGGCATATTTATAAGGCTCAGAGGCTGCATTCTGTGGCTGAATTAGATTTGAATGTGACAATGAATTGCATCCTTATTTGTCAGATCATTCTCTTGCTAAATAAGCACACCCCAGAGTAGACAGTATTTGTAAGGGTGTGCAAATTTCCTGACTAGGAAGCAGAAGAGGGCCCCTCGCTCAAAAAACTAGTGTTGTTTCAGCCATATGGCAATACAGATGGTAGCAGTAAGTACCCATCTAGAAACTATTTTACAGTCATGGTGCATGTGAAAAACATTAATGTCACAGTGTATAAACAAGTATAGGAGGACCCAGACAATTGTTAGCAGCGCCCATCTAAAAACCATTTAGTAATGGTGGTGATGTGAAAGACGTTAACATCACAGTGTATAGACAAGTGTAGGAGAACATGGACAATTTTTCAAAAGTTCTAGGCATGCTGTCAACTGGAATGATTGGATTTAGAGAAAGGTGGTGCAATGTATTTACATTGTTCAACACCCTAAAGCAACAATTCTAAATCTGTGAACTGTGGCTCCTTTCAGATGCCAGTAGAAAGGTTGCTAGTTACGGAAAGGAAGTGACAAAATAGTGTATATCATTGTGGTCAGCTCAAAACAGAAATGTCTGAGAACTACTGATCCAGAGCACTTAGATGAAAAGTAACCATTACCGTAATTCAATTATCTCTATCTTTTCTTTCCAAACAATCAGAATACATTTTTTGGTGAATGTTGGTAGATAGTTACTTGTAAAACTTCCTAAGCAATCTTCAATGTCACAACACTGTTATGTTACAGTGCAAGATGCATAGTGTCTTCCTCAATTATGGTTAGAGTTGTGCAATATCAAAAATTTATACTGACTGCATACATCTTGAAAAAAATGTTATTACACTTCATCCAAGTTAATTCTTGTTTATTTGACTGAGTGGGTTTTCTAATATTATAGAGCAGTACTAGTTTGTAAAGCATAGTTACTTGAATTGATTGCTATGCTATGAAGGTGAAACTATGTCTGCTATTTCTTCTTTAGACTCTGAATGTGTGTGTTTATTTTGTGGTTAACAAAATGGAAAATAACCTAGATGGTGAGTTAAACTGCAAGTGACCATTTCTTCTGCTTCTTATCTGTGATAATTCTTAAGGAACTGGTAATGTAATAACTCAATAATTAGCACCTAAAAGCTATATATGCATACAAAGAGAGGGAGCAAACAATACTGACAATGGCTGCCATGGATACTAAAGTTGCCACTAGGCAGTGGTACTATGCATTCCAAGTACATGTTGGTAAATATGTAACACAAGCAAAAGTACCTGTCTGCAGTAATGGGAGAAGCATAAGTTAACCTTTCAATTTAAATCATTTCTTGGACTTTAAAAAGGTTAACCGTGTTGCGCTCTTGGTTTCACTCAGAGTCAGAGATCTGAGCTACTTATTCTCCCCACCAATAAATGTAATTGTTGAGCATTTCAGTGATACTGTTACGTATCTACTCGTTTGATAATTTCCGGTATAATTTCTTTCCGAGGACCTTCAGCTATACGAGTCCCTTCTTGATTATAACTAGTTTATTCTTTCTCGACACAAACTTTTTGTAATACACAGAATTTCCACAGTCACTTTACACTTAACAACCTTTATAACACATGCTATAACTCACAGCGATTCACACATTTTACTTACGGTGCCTACTGTTCGCTTGACTCAAGTATCTATCTCTTCACTCTATCTATCTCTACAATTGCGCTGGTTTTTTCTCACCAAGCTTATACACCAAAAAAGAGGACGTCTAGCAAACACTCGGACATTCACGAGGTTCCCCGATAATTCTAGAAACTCCAGCACGCATGTTCCCAGCATCACGCGACTTCCTCTGTAAATGTACATTTTTTATTTATTAAGTTATGCCACATTTTGAAATGTGAATGATAAGTGTAATTAATTCCTAACAATTTAGTGTAGACCATTCTGCTTGTGAAATAAAATTTGGCAACAGCATTATTCATACCTGTTTTCCTGTCATTTCAAAAGTGAATGTTGAGCTTTGCCTGCATGTGTAGCTTTTCAAACAAGAGACAGACAAACACTCGAAGAGACACCATGGTTTGCATATATATATCTCTCATTTCATTTCACTTGGTTATTTACCCACTTAGGATATAAATCACCCTAATTCAAACTACAAAAAGAAACTTTTCCTTATGTCAAATCCTGGTCTGCAAAATACTTAATTTCTTCTTATGCTCTTCAGTGTTGCAGCTTATACCATACCTGAAGGCAGTTATTCCATAACTCCATAGACTAACTACTCTTTCCTCAGCTGGAGTCGTGTCTATGTTTCCACATCTTAAACTTGTGTCCTCTAGTTTTACTGCCTGCAAATTTTTTGAAAATTTCATACGAATTAATGGATTCCAAATTTCTAACAATCTTAAAAACCTCAATCATAACCCTCCAAGCCCTTTTCT